AATTATGGGACATTATTCAGCCATCATAGATGGAAAGATCCAGTTACTATCATGGGGGTCAGGGGAAGGGACAGACATTAGACAAATGAGCAAATAAATAAGACTATTTCCAGTATAATGGGGGTAGTGAGCGAGGGATTGATTGGCAAGTGGGGGTAGGGTGAGGACTACCCGAGACAGGGGTATCTTGTAGGTACCTGACACTCTATTTACTCTGAATTCAACTCTCCACATTTCCTGCCCAAACCTGCTCCTCCTTCATTCCCCACCCCAGCACATACCACCACCACCTGCTGCTTAAGGCACTTATTACCTAGGGTCACTTTTGACTTTTGACTCCCGTTTCTCCAGGTCTGGTTCGCTCGACCAGCTCATACCTCTAAGCATGACTCACTTTCCCCTCATCTGCTTAGACCCCAGCAGCAGCCACCTTTTCACAACTGCAATATTCCAATAGGCTTTTTTAACTGAGCACCCGGCTTCCTCCACTCTTGTACTTCAATCAATCATCTGCCATCACACAGAGAATCACCCTTAAAAAATGAGAAACTTAGAATGTCAGTCCTCTAGACCCCCACATTTAAGCATCTGTTATTTTGGTTTTCAACTTTTTAGCTGATCCAATAGCAAAGCACAGTTGTGGGAGGGCGGACAAATTAGGACATGGACAACATATGGAGGGGCATGGAGATACAGGAGGTGATGGAAAGGCAGTGCTGCTGACATCCTATCCTACCAAGAGAAGTTCACGGGGAACTCCTGGAAGTTTATGAATCAGAAGGAGACGTTTGGTTATATTTTTTAAACTTATAAAAGTAACTAGTAGAGTATCTATCTATCTATCTATCTATCTATCTATCTATCTATCTATCATCTATCATCTATCCATCCATCCACTATTCCTGCAAACAGTGAGAAGAAGGAGGAAGATAAAGAGAGCTGATGTGTGAACTAAATCCTCATCTTTTGTATCAAGGACTCACGATGTCTTTTCTGAGTCCCAGGGAGTGGACCCGAGAGGCAGAGGGTGGGTGGACACTTGCTTTTCTGCATCTGAAGGTCTTCTCTACATTTAATTTTTACTATGAAACTTTGAAATTTTTATAAAAGTAATTCTATTTATTAAGAGATAGAGTATTACAGAAATAAATAACTTAGAAAGTGACATTTCTGTGTAATTTCCTCCCTCAGGCACAGGCCTGAGAATGGTTCAAATCTCCAGATTTGTTTTTATTTGAGCTCATAACAATTATCTTTATTCTTAACAAATCCAGCTCTTTCTCTGCATAGTAGTTTCCAACTTGCTTATGACATTTATACAGAGCAAATATCTTTCCTTGTCAGTACGTGCACATATTTTGGTTAATTTTTTTAGATCTCATTGCACAGATAGTACATATTTTAATAGTATACTATCGATACATATTTGGGCTGTTTCCTTCATTTCCTTTTTTTTTTTACTATTAGAAACTGTGTTGCAGTGAATAATTTTTCAGTCACTTCTGTGCACGTAGGCAAATATTTCTGTGGGATAAAATCCTAGATGTTGAACACTGTATTGAGGAATATGTAACTTTTAATGTTTCACAGAGATTGCTAAATCGCTGTTAACAAAGACTGGGGGAGTCCCCCTCTGCCAATGCTGATGAAGGTGCTTTGTCAACTGGACACTGTCTTGGTGTTTAATTTTTTTTCCAGTGTGTAGGAGAATAGTGACATTTCATTGTTGGGCTAATTTGAATTTTTATTGTTGAGGAGGTTAAGCATATCTTCACATATGTATTAGAGACATTTATATTTCTTTTTCTGTGATTTATGTTTATGATTTTTCTACAAGTTTCCTATTGGATTTTTGTCTTTAAAAAAATTTACTTGTAATAGCACTTTGATATTACGGAAATTAAAATTTTCTGTGTCAAATTTGTCATTCTTTTTACTTGTCTCACGTAATGCCCACTAGGATGGCTATAACCAAAAAGATAGATAATAGCCAGTGTTGGCGAGGATGCGGAGAAACAAACCCTCATACACTGCCAGTGGGAATGTAAACTGGTGCAGCCACTTTGGAAAACCATCTAGCAGCTCCTCGAAAAGTTAAACATAAAGTTACTATGCAACCCAATGTTTCCATTCGCAGGTCCGTCTCCAAAAGACATAAAAGCACAGCCACACAAAACTTGAACATGAATATTCATAGCTGCATTAGTCATAACGGCCCAAAGTGGAAACAACCCAAATGTGCACTAATTGACCAATGGATAAATGAGACACAGTATACAAGTACAATGCAATATTATTCAGCAATAAAAAGAAATAAAGTAGCAATACAAGCTACTGATGAACCTTGAAAACACGCTATGTGAAAGAAGCCAGACACCAAAACGTCATAGGTAGCACGATTGCATCTATATAAAATGTCCAGAATAGGTAAATCTTTAGAGAAAGAAAGTAGATTAGTGGTTTCCTAGGGCTCAAAGAGGGCAGGGAGATTGGGGGCGATGGCTAAAGAGGGCTGGGTTTCTTTTTCGGAGTAATGAAAATATTCTAAAGTTGATTGTAGTTTTGGATGTAAAACTCTTGTGGATATACTAAAAGTCATTGAACTGTACACTCAAATGAGTGACTTGTATGGTATGAGAATTATATTTCAATAAAGCTTGTTGATATAAATAATCCATAACAAATCAATAAATCAAAATTGGGGTGAGTTTATTATGAGCCATATCTGAAGACTAGCCCTAGCCTGGGGCCTCCCTTCCCAAGGAAGGAAGGGCACTGAAGAAGTGGCGTGTACAGAGTGGTTGTACACTGTCTTGGAACAAAGACCGTATGTCACATATGATGGGAATGTCCCTTTTACAACAGTCACGAGATTGCCTAGCTGGCACAGCAGAGCTATTCACATGGTAGGTAGCAGGTCTGCTGTCTCAGTGGACACAGCAGAGTGGGCGCAGCAATCAGTTCCTAGCCTAGGGAGAGATGCTCATCCTTAAGGAAATGCCAATGTGGGGGAAGTTGCACCTTTATCTTAAGGCCATTTGTTCTTGTCTTTGACACATAGCAAATGCTTGAAGCAGATGTATAATGCAAGCTCGACAGCCACGTCAGGCCCTTTTGGAAAAGCAAGGTCAGGCCAAATTAGTTTTACACCAAACGGCTTCCTCATAGACTGCAATATATCCTATTGTCTGCCATTTGCTTATCAAGCTGTTTAAAGAACAACCCTACCCATGAGCAGTGTGCTCGCTTCTGTCCCGGTGGCTCTCCGATGGCACCCCATGAAACACCTTGAGTGAGAAGCACCTTGCTGCATCCTCCCTGAAATTTCGATTGCCACGATCGTGAGCAAATTGAAATGCTCTTATGCATCAGTAGTATCTGGAACAGTCAGTATCTGCAGTTGCTGATGACCAAAATGGCTAAGGCGTGCCTGGTGGGGAGAGCGTTGGTGGGGGAGGAGTGGGGCCTTGCAGAGAGGATGTGGAGGGCTCTCTCCCATCCTCACTCCATCAGTGGAGGCCTGAGGACCAGCCCTGCACTCAGCCTGAGGGAGCTGCTTCCCCTTCAGACCTGCGGGTCCACACGCATCACAGCATTCAGCAAACTCTCCCCCCAGCCCCTTTTACTTCCTCAAGGACCACCCTCTTCAGGAGAAGATGTGGGGTCACAAATGCCTGGGTTCCTGTCCAGACCCGTGGGATTCGCAGTGAAGGATGTGGGTGTCTCTCAGCTCTGTGCTGTGCAACTTACTCTGAACACGAGGCGCCAGGTGGCAGGGGGATCAGTGGGGGCAGCTGAGAGAGGCCTCACCACAGGTGAGCTGTCTTCAAACAATTGATGCGTGGCCAGCAGGGGAAACGGATTCCTTTTGGGTGTATTGTCTGTTTGAATTCTTGGCCCTCTTTGAGCCAAGACAATGGAGGAAACTGTCTTTGTCTTTTGGATTTTAAAGAGCTTCTTCTATAAAAGGGGCATTTGGCCTTTTGCCGGATATCTTCCAAATAACTTATCCTATTCATCCATTCATCCCGTGACTTTGTGTGTGTATGCTGTGCTGTACGAGATGTGTGGCCAAGTTTGTTGTCCTCTTCCATTTTGGTGTCTGTGTTTCATATGTGCTTCGCGAGGGCTCCTCGGGTGGAGTGAGCATGCAATTTGTCTCTGACACAGGACCGCTAGCTGGAGGCTCCCAGGTCTTGTAGGCCCAAGAGTCTGACTTCCTGTTTGGAATTTTATCCTATGGATCTCAGGTATGATCCTTTTTGTGCTGATCTATCTTTTATCCTGGAAAGAGAAATAGCAATTTCCAAACTTCTGAGTTCTTGGGAGCTCCTTCATTGTTACCATGCCAGGCCCTAAATGCAGAGTGGCTGGAGCTCTCTTCATTGGAGCCTGGCTTGGGACCTGAGAATCACAAACAGGAGAGGACACTCCAGCGAGGGCGAGGAAACAGAATCAGAAATGCTCACCTGGGACAAGGTTACAGATGGGAAAGATACAGCCAACAGGCTAGTGGGGTTCACTCATTTGACCCCAGAGGTATATTAGGCCCCATGGCTATTGCCAGCTGGCACCTTTTACTTGGTGTTTCTGGCAGCAGCTCCTGCCGGCTGTAGGCCACCAGCTCCAGGCCCAGATACCATCAACAGCCTCCCCTCCCTGAGGGCCTCTGGGTCCCAGATTCCCTGAGCCTGGCTGTTTCACACCTCATCCTGCCCCTAAGACCATGGGGTCACATAACAGGACCCCGACAGAAATGGCCATGGAGGTGCTTTCACTTCCAACTGGTTCAGTCCGAAGCCCAGACATTTAGAAAGTCGGGAGGCATGGACGATAGTGAAGACTTCTGCGCTGGGGCAGACGCGGTGGCTCCCTGTGAGCCTCTGGACCAGTGAGGGCTGAGGGACCCTGTTAGAGGTGCCACACATTTGAGCAGCATCACAGGGGCTGGGCTTACCTCACAAAGGGACCATGTGTGACCACCTGGCTGGGGAGAGCAGCCAGAGGGCAGAAGCAGCCCTGAGCTCAGGCCCCACTGACACCCTGAGTGTGCTGGAGTAGGAGAGTGGCCCACGAGCTGGGAGCTGACTGGAGCTCAGGAAGGAGAAATCTACCACTTGAGGGCCAGGACAGCCAGCTCAAGGCTCAGCAAGGAGGAACGCAGTGAAGAGCTTGGGTCCGAGGTGGGTCTGAGGTGTAGCTGTGCCAGGTGGGAAATGACTGTGATGCCAGGGGGGACTCCAAGTGTTTTCTGGGCAACTGACTCCGGAGATCATGGAGCAGAGAGCCTCAGGCCAAAGTTGGCTGCTCGAATCCCGCGTGTATCAAATCAATGTAAACCATCAGCGAGAAGCTGGGTAACAAGAAGGAGCAGGTTAATATGATTAAGATGCAGGACAAGTGAGGCAGAGACAACCCCCGGGCATGGGACGTTCTCTCTGTAGCACCCTCCATGCTGATGGGGGTTATAGGGCCCACGGTGGAGGTTTGAGCAAAGAGGTCCAACAAGTCAGTAAACACACTGGGAAATCTACCTGGCACAGCTGGGTGGGCTGATCAGCCTCCCGCGCAGCCGAGGGTTGGTTCGCGTTCCTGGGGGAGGGCACACTGCACCGAATGGGGTCCCCGTGGGCGGCTGCACTCACCCGTCATGGCCATGCTGTGCTGCATCTGTCTTATGTCTATTTAGTGCCTGAGGAAGATGAGGTGTCTCGGGTTTGCCGTCACATTCTCTTTCAACTTAGATGTGCTGTCCTTACCGCTTATCTGGAATGAACACAGCTTAAGGATTCTGCCTTCATCTCTCAAGCTATCCACCTACTCATGATCCACACCTAACACGTTCACTGTTGAGCCCGGGTCTCACAACTGCATCCTGACTCATCTTCTATAGTAGCATGGCATCTCCTCAAAAAGCAGATGCACATTACAAGCTGTGATCTACGCGTACACACTCGTTAGACTGTGGGAGTCTGAAGGTACACATCAGGGCAGGCAATGAGGTAAAGCTCCCATGCCTAATCAAGCGACTGAGACGTTTACTCGACCTCTGTGTGCATCCCATTTTCCTCGTATGGAGGGGGTTACTTGTTATGCTGCCGCATGGGAAGCCCTGATTACAGGGCCTGGCAAGACTCAATGATGCTCAATAAACAGATCCCAGGGCAGTTACTGAGTCTGACTAGAAAGAGGGGAGATGCAGGGCACAGTGTCGAGGCCAGTACAAAGCTTAGCTGAGGATTTCACATCGGAAAGGAAACAAACAAGGTGAGCGTTGAGACCTGCACTCTCCCTGTGGCAGCGTGTCTGCTGTCTGTGCCTGTCTCTGTACACAGACCTGCTACAATAGACGAGTCTATTGGACAAGGGTACAACAAGGCCTTCACGGGGTATACAGGGAGCTCGTGGACAAAGAGATAGGGGTCGCCTGGCAGGGAAGAAATGGGTGTGTGTGTGTGCATGTGTGTGCATGCGTGTGCACCTTCTGCTTGCGAGTGCACTGAGGTACACATTCTTCCAGAAAAGAAACAGCCAGTGTGGGAAGTGGACTGAATTGTGACTGCAGATTTCTTGTGTGGCTTCTTTTTGGGGAAGGAGAGAAAGAAGCCCGTAAAAGATGATGTTAACAGAAGGTCTCTCCTTTTCACCCGCAGCAGCAGTGCCAGGAGGACTGGGGCGCAGAGGCAGAGAGGCAAGCCCAGCCCACACTCCCCCGCAGCCCTGGAAGGACAGAAGGGACTCTGCCTGTGTCCACTTGGCTGAGGCGCCATGGCCAGGCTCTGCCTGAGCTTGCTGCTCCTGGTGGCCGTTGTGGCCCTTGTGTCCAGAGGCGTCCACACCTGGGGCTCGCCAAAGGTGGTGCGAGAATTCCAAGACATCCCAGAATCCTACGTGTACGTGCAGCAGGCGCTGTGGTTCGCCATGAAAAAGTACAACCAGGCCAGCAGAGACAAGTACAGCTACAAGGTGGTGAAGGTTCTTAAATCCCAGGAGCAGGTCCGTGAGCGCTCGCTCTTTGCTCGTTCTCCCCATGTGTGTGGTCGTGGTGGGCCCATTGTCCATGGACGGCTGCTGAGATGGGGCAGCGGGAGACAGCTGAGAATGCCTTTAGCCGATATGTATTAATTTTATTTTAAAGGTTTTTGCAGAAAAATTAGTTATACTTCATCCTTTATGATCCTGGGATGAAACATAACATATCCATTAAAATAACTTAAAATTGGTTATAGTCACATCAGAAAGCATAGGTGAGAGCCCAGAAGGGGTCAAGCTTGAAGGGGCCAAGTTTAGGACAATTTTGAGTTGATATCACCAAAATGAGTCATGACAGGGATGGATTATAACACACAAACAAGCAAAGAACCAGCCAGTCGAGCTTCACTGAGAAAACGAACAAGGGAGAAGGGAAAGCTCTCCCTATTCCTCCTATGGACGTAAAAGAACGTGTAACTAGAAAGTCACCTTTTCAACCCCATGGTAAAAACTAATTCAGGTACAGATCATCGATGAATCCTACCACCACTGGGTGAGAGAGTGTTGGCAAACAAATTGCTCAGGACTTATTAATTAATTACAATGGGGAAAAATACCCTTAAAATCAAGAAATCTGGTGAAGGCCTTGTTCACCAAATGCTTGTTAAAATAAATTGGTAATAATTTGTTGTCAATAATTGTGAATGTTGTCAATAAATTGACATCATCTGTTGCTAATGTGATGCCGCTGAAAGGACACATCATCGCCTGGGGATGGTATTCTTGCCTAAAATGCTTACCCTGAAGGTAATCATGAGGAGCAATTAGACAGATCCTTAACTTGGGGCATTTTATAAGACCACTTAAAAATGTCAATGTCAGGAAAGATATGAAAAAAGCAGGAAAACTGTTCTCAACTAAAGGAGACAAGACACATGACAATAAATGTCGTGTCGTCCTGTATTATCTCTTAGATTTAGAGAAAACGATAAAGGAAGTTATTAGGGCAGTTGGAGGGGTTAGAAGGCCAGCAGCATATTTCCTGAGGAAGCTGATGGTCCTGCGGCTGTGTGGGAGCCCGACAAAAGCAGCAGCAGGTGCATCGAGGACCAGGCATCAGGCGATCTGGCTGGAGTCTGAGGAAGGAAAGGGAGGGTGGCAGAAGGGGAGCTGGGGCTGCCCTGGCCCCAGTTTGTGGTGACATTGGCCCGACACAAGAGCAGGGACACGTCTTCCGCTCCTCTTCCTCCTTCATTAGCTCCGTCTCCTTCCGCCATCTTCCCCTTAACCTTTACAGTCCGTCCCTCCAGGTCACGAGCCAAGCTGCCCTAGTTTCCTGCTGTCTTATGTGGTCAGGAGAGAAGGTTTAATCGGTGGCTTTATCCTGGCTGAGGCTGTGACACCTGGCTCCTCAGCCATCTTCCACACGCTGGGACGTGGGCTCCCTCTGGCTCTTTTGTGTGGTCCTGGTTATGCTGTTTGTGTTTCTTGGGCCGGGACACCTCATGAATATTGATGGCCTCGGCATCCATTTGTGTTTAGTACCTGTCCTTAGTGAAGTCTGCACCTTTCCAGAACTATTCTGCTGTCTTGGACTTCTCTTGCTTTCCCACTTACACAAATGGAAGTAGATGGTTCTGTTCATAGGTAGATATTTAATAATAAAACAAACCAAATACTCATGTTATCTTAAAAATTATATACCATTTTCTATTATGTGCTATTTTTTTCATGAATGTGCATGTTATTTCTCAGTTCACTGTAAGCTCTTGAATGTGGCTAAGAATTCAAAAAAGTCAGAGAGAAACTCGTTCAAAAGAGGCTAGAACAGAGGTAATTAAAATTCCCTGGCACGTCAGCTACGTACCCCTGGAAAACATATTGAAGAAAGAGGCAAAAAAAATGCACCCTCACAAACAAAAATAACTGAAGACAAGGCAAAAGCAAAAAGAAAAATGCTGGATGGCAATTCGGATTAAATTTAACAACATAGACACAGGTCCTATATAAAGAAAATGGCTATGTCTTATTAGATGATTTCAGTTAAAAGTGTAAAGATCTGTTTCAGTTGGCCAATTACAGCCTGAGGCCAAATCTGGCCTGCTGCCTATTTTTGTGTGCCCCCTGAACTAAGAGTGGTTATAAGAAATGAAAAGAATAGTTTGTGACATTTGAAAAGGACATAAAATTCAAATTTCAGTATCTGTAAATAGAACACTGCCACGTACTTTGTTGAGTATGGTCTGGGGCTGCTTTTGCACTGCAATGACAAGATGACATGCTCGGCAAAGCCTAAAATCTTCACTCTCCGGCCTTTCAAGGAAGAGTTTGCAGCCACCTGCAGTAGCTCACAGAGGACTGAATTTCTGCTGCGGATTTCGCGCAGCGTGGATGCTGGTAAAAACGAGCACTGGCAGTAGGCTGGGGCCACAGCTGACAATTATACAAAGTTTACTTTGTGCCAGATTCAGTTGTTTTTCATATGCTCACCAATTCAGGTCTCACAACTCGTTAAGTAGGAACCACTTTCTTCCACTTTAGAGAGGAGGAAATAGGCACAGAGAGGTGTAGTAACTTAGTTCACACAGCTACTAAGTAGAAGCACCAAGATTTAAACCTGGGCCACCTGCTCTGAGTTGGCACACGCGGCTGCCTCTTTATGATGCCAGTGGAGTGGAGGGGGGACAGTGCAGCCAAAGGGGAGGGAGAGGGTGTCACAGAAGGTGAGGAGAGTCCGGGGAGGCCTGTCTGTGAAAGGGGGGAGGGGCTGCCTCAGCAGCCAGGACCCCCATATGCCTCCCCTTCCTGGGCAATCTGGGGTCAGGTTAGAGCGGGCAGTCAGGTAATGGCTGTTGAATCTGATTTAGAGGAGTCTGTTTGTATGGTGATTATAACTCGGAACTATTACTCAGGTAGGAAGCTGCGGTTCTCAGCTGGCGTGGGTTTCCTCGCCAGGGGACTTTTGGCAATACCTGGAGGCATTTTGGGTCATCACAACTGAAGGGGCTGCTCCTGACATCTAGGGGCAGAGGGCAGGGATGCTGCTAAGCCTGCTACAGCGCACAGGACAGCCTCCACCACAAAGAACTATCCAGCCTGTGTCAATGGTGCTGAGGTTGAGAAACTTGATATCCAGTCGTAAAGTACTAGGAGTATGTTTGGAAGTTGCTGAGTTAAAAAAATGAAAGTGAACACTCATTTTCTTGCATTTCCAACCTGACTCACCCTGAAGGCGCCACCAAAAGTGGTTTGCTCTGTCCTTCCCGACATTTTCTATACACTTACATGCATAACTGAAAATTTTAAAAGTGCATTTTATATTCACGAAATCATACTTAGATCTCTGCCTACCACACCCATTTTGTTCAATGCTCAGGCAACTTTTCTAGAATTTCCAAAATTTTTCTATGTTTTCTGAATATCACTTATTCTCCTGGGGTCAGTTATTGTGTTTAACTGGGTCATTCCCTGTAATATGTTTTTTTCCCTAATTCTTGTAAACCTTGTTTTCTTGTTGTTCACTTTTCAATGATAAAAGTCTGCCTTTGCCATCATGCATCTCCGTCTGCCCACCAGGCCCTCTTCGAATAAAGGGCTGACGGTGGGCTGTGCACAGGAGGGGAGGTTGCCTGGAAATGAAGGATTTTGGAGAGTGTTTCACGTGGAATGAGGTGTGGTTTACTAAACCCGGCAAAGCGCGGGGACTTGAGAGAAGCCACACCCTCTAGGCCAATTTCAGCTCTGGGATGTCCCCTTCCCTCAACATCTATTCACTAGCTATGAAGATACCGCAGCATCTGCTGTTTATTCCCCAAGCTCCAAAAAGCAGAGCATTAGCTTTCCCAGGAAAACATTTTTGGGGAATAGTTTTCTCACTTTATCTCGAGGACAGTTGCCATTACTTTAAAATTAAGTACCAGGATGAGAGAGACACAGAGAAACAGAGACAGAAAGATATCAAGGTAAAGCCCCAAACCCCAAAACTTCTGGCAAGGAAACTATGGGGGAGAGGCTCATTGACCCTCAGCAGGCAATAGCATGTTTATTGATCAGAGATGACAATTGATACCGTGTATCCTTTTATGACATCTAATTTTTAAATCGCTCATTGACAGGTCACAGATAGTTTGGACTACTTTCTTGAAGTCAAAATTGCCCGAACAATGTGCAAGAAAATTGCAGGAGAAAGTGAAAACTGCTTATTGCAACAGGATCCCAAAATGCAAAAGGTATGTGGCTGATCTGAGAAGTGGTGGCCTGGTTGGGTTTGTGCCTGACAGAGAAAGCTGTTGGGACCAGCCCTGCTCCGATTCTCGTTTCCTTTGTAAACCATATTCTAATCATAGTCAGGACTCAAGATGGCCAGGCTCCCGACCTAGAGCACTGTTTTTATTATCTATTGCTGATACCACCTTCCCCCTACCCCTACCAACACACACGTGTGCGTGCACACACACACACATGCACGCACACACACTTAGTGGCTTAAAGCAGCACTGTTTATTATTTCTAATATTATTTCTCACTATTCTGCAGTCTGGGCTGGGTTCTGCCAGACAACTGTTCTGCCCTCTGTGGTGTGTGCTGGGGCAGGAATATTCCAGGTGACTGCTCTATTCAAATGTTTGGTGTCTCAGCTGGGATGGCTGACACAGTTGGGGGAATTGGCTGGGCATCTTTCTCACTCTGCTCAGGTACTTTCCACGGGGCAAACGTGGAGAGTGACCAGTCTTCCTGGTTGGTCCAGGACTAAGAGCTTTCCTGGAATGGGAGACTTTCCATGCTAAAACCAGTGAAATCCTGGGAAAACTGGGATGAAATAGTCGTCCTACACTTGGGCTTCCTTACAACATTGTGGTCCCAAGGGAGTAGCCCTTCTAAGCAGAAGCTACCTCCAGTCTTCCTTAGGCCTTGGCTTGGAAGTCAGAGAACATCCCTTTTGCTCCATTGTTTTGGTCAAAGCAGGTCACAAGGCCCAGTTTCAAGGGGAAGCCATAGGTTCTCCTCTCCACGGGCAGAGCATCATGCACGTACTGGCGGGAAAGGAACTAGGGACAGCCATCTTGGTGGACTGCTTACACTGGGCCCAATCTGCTGGAGCTGCTTGCCCAGTAGGGAGTATGGCATGACAGACTCTGCAGGCTTGTGATTGCTTTGCAGCCAGAAAAGCCCCACGAAACTTTTCTTGGCTGGTTCCACTAGTCCAGCTGCTGTATGGAAGGCCTGGGAGGCTTTGGGACAGTCCCAAGACTCCTAGCCCAAGGGCCCCATATGCCCATTACAGTCTCACATGTTAAATTTTCTGCTTTTTCATGTCACCACTGAGGAACAGTTCCAGCTGGGTCTGGGTGTAGCCAGGCCTCATGCCCAGATGGGCACTATCATGAAAGGGTCAGATCATTTCTCAGCCGTAATGGGAAATTTTCCTTATTCTCATCATATTGGATTAACAAGAACATTTGGATTTAAATGTAATCTTCTTAAGTGTACATAAATATTTTCTAAAAATATATTCTCATAAAAATATAAGCGATAGGGGTCTCATAATTCTATCCCCTCCCTAGGAGTTTGGGATCATTTGTGTGAATATATCCAAGATAATTTTACTATAAATTCATAAAAATAACCTTTCTTCTCTTTCATTTTAACAACTGCTGATGTATATATGTATTTTTTCACCTTTTCAAATTTTCTTGGTGATATTTTCAGACATTATTTCCAATTTTTATTTTTCATAAACAAAGTTGTGTGTATATATATATCTTGTGTATTTTTTTGCCTATTTAGTATATTCCTAAAGCTGGCACAAGACATGGCTAGGCATAAATAATGACAGATTAGTGGTTGCTAAAAATTGCCCAGACACACTCAAATAAAAATTATCTATGGGGGCTGGCCCCGTGGCCAAGTGGTTAAGTTCGTGCACTCCGCTGCGGTGGCCCAGGGTTTCTCTGGTTCGGATCCTGGGCGCGGACATGACACCACTCTTCAGGCCATGCTGAGGTGGCGTCCCACATGCCACAACTAGAAGGACCCACAACTAAAATATACAACTATGTACTGGGGGGATTTGGGAAGAAAGAGCAGAAAGAAAAAAAAAAAGAAGATTGGCAACAGTTGTTAGCTCAGCTGCCAATCTTTAAAAATAAAAATCATCTTCATATTCTTATGCATAGTAGGCACCACAGCAGGATGCCAAAATGCAAGTAGATGGCTATATCTAGAGAATGGACTCTTGTCGTAAACTATCAGAAATCATTTTCAATTACATAAGATTTCAAAAATTCAGGTAGGCACTAAGAATGATGTATCAAATACTCATGCACCTGCCACATACATTTTATAATAGTTATCATTTTATCACATTAATTTTAATTATTTATTTTAACAGGTAAAATGTTACACGTTCATTTCACTTCCCCCTCAAAGATACCCACTCTCCTAAAATTGATGAGTAGTGTTACTACCCATTTTTTAAAACTTTTATCTATATATGCAAAGTTTTGAGTATTTTTCAAAATTTACACAAATTTTGGAACTTTGTGTTTTGTATTTAACAATATTTTTTGAGATTTATTCATATTGGTAAAATCTTCTATTATTTATTTATCCCAAATTATTTCCTGGGCCAGTTGATGTATATAGAAATGGGCTAAATTTTTTTTTTTACTGTATATTAAGCTTTTATGTATTTCATCATATTTAACCATTTCCCTGTTTTGGACAATCATGGTTGTTTTAAATTTTTAACAACAATGCTCCAGTGAAAGTCCTGACACATGCTGACTGACCAGGGGCAGGAATCTCCCCAGGGATGATGTTGGGAGCTGCTGTATTGGGAGCATGTGCAACTTCAATTTTAGTGTGTGTCGTAGGCCATATGTGATGCGCAACTCAACTGTGCTCTCCAAAGTGGTTGAAGCAGCATACCTTTCATCAGTGCCGTGTGCCATCGTTCATTTCCCCCCAACCTTTCCAGCACTTGTGGTTATGAGTCTTAAATTTTTCTAGTCTGATGTATGTGAAATGTTACCTCCTCATTATTTCACTTTTCATCTCCATTTGTAGTAAGGTTGAGCTGTTTTAATGTTACTAGTGGTCACTCAGGTTTTCACTTCTAGGACTTGCTTTTTAATGTCCTTTTCTCAGGAGCAATCAGAGGGACCCTGTCAGGTGCCTCAGGTGGAGGAATACAGCCAACCGACTATAACCCCCTTACCCGCTCTCTTCTCCCAACCTCCCACTTTCCTGCCTCTATCTCCCTTTGGCCAAACCCAACTAGAAGCCAGAGGGTGCTTACTGATGCAGTCTATAAAGATCAGAGGGCAAAGGTGCCCATTGTCACAGTACATAGAGGTCAGAGGGTGAGGATGCCCACTGGCACAGCCCATAGAAGTCAGAGGGCAAGAGTGGCCATTGCCAAAACCCATAGAGTTCAGAGGCTACTGACACCCATTGGCATAGCCCATAGAGGTCATTGGTCTTCCAAGATGTACTGGGTAAAGATAAGAGGAGTGGAGACCTGGAAGGACAAATGGAGAAAACCAAGGAAAGGGGCTGGGGTGGAGACAGCAAGATCAGTTTGAGTCTATGAGGAGACTATTGGAATAGCTCAGATGAGAGATAATGTTGGTTAGGATGGTAGAGGTGCTCAGTCCTGGAAGTCTGTGAAAGGTTTGGTCAGAATTTGCTGATGGATTGGCCATGGAGTGTGAGAGGAAAGTTAAGGATGACTTTAAGGTTTCTGGAGTTCCGAAGCAGTTGGCTTTCTTGGTTTCCTCTTATGCTTTCATCCTCTATATGGAGTACTTGGCATTCTATAGACTTGCATTACCTTGTTTGCTTTGACTTATCACTTGAGGTTCCTCCCTGTCTTTGTCCTTGTGTGGGGTCCTTCCCTGTTTCATAGAGCTCCCACAGACTTGATCTTCTCTCTTTTCTTTAGCTATTTATTGAGATTTAGAAAGAAAAAAGGGTAAATGTCTGAGCTCCTTGGAAAATAAATTCTAAAACTTGATGTTATTTTAAAAAGCTATTGGCCTGATTCATTTCATGTAGAAAATTTGGAAATATTCAAAAGTATTAAGTAGCTTAAATCCATTATAAATACCCTTATGTAAAGTTTACCACTGTCAATATATTGTTATATATCCTAGTTTTTTCTGTATTTTATATTATTTGTATTTTTATGTAGTTGGGATCATATGGCGCACTGTTCCATAATCTATATTTTCATTTAATAATAACCTCTAAGGATTTCTAAAATAGTACAGTTATTTGGGAGTGTCATATAATGAAACTATTTGATTTCATTTAATGGTGTTTCCACATTTTATTTAGCCAATCCCCGAGAATTAAGGTTTTTCTAATTTTTGCCTATTATAAGCAATGTTTTAATGAATATTCTTCTCTATTCTATTTGTGTGCATATCTGATTTTTTTTGTTTTTTTAAAGATTGGCACCTGGGCTAACAACTGTTGCCAATCTTTTTTTTTTTTTCTGCTTTATCTCCCCAAACCCTGTCCTGTACACAGTTGTATATCTTAGTTGCAGGTCCTTCTAGTTGGGGAATGTGGGACACCGCCTCAACGTGGCCTGACGAGCGGTGCCATGTCCGCGCCCAGGATGCGAACCCTGGGCCCCCGCAGTGGAGTGTGCGAACTTAACCACTCGGCCACAGAGCCAGCCCCTGTATATCTGATTTTTGTTTCCTTGTAGGCAAAGTTCCCAGAAGTTGAATTACTTGTTCAATATTTTTTCGTCTCTTAAAGATTTTTAATACACATTGCTAAAATGTCCTCTAGGATTGACCTTGATAATTGGATTTTCCATTCCTCTGTTTGTTGATTGGTTCCTGTCTGCCTTGGCTGATCTAGAAGTTAAGCAATCAGCTAACTCTCTGATAAGCCTACTCTCTCTTCTCCCCACCACTGCCATGAACCAGCTCACCCCATCCTGAACTCACCTCCAACCTGGACGCCCTTCTGGCCTGGATGTCCTTCCAGCCTGGCCTTAGTCCTTCAGTGGCCTGTCTGGGTGGTGGGTAGCTTGATCCTATTTTCTCCCTCAATCTGATCCCTCAGTCTTTGTTTCTTATGCAACTTCAGTTCTATTTGATGCTGCCATTCACATTTCCATTGATGTAATGGAAGTATTCCTACTTTAGACTTTTATTCTAACTGAGTGAAGATTTTAGGAGAGAAAGGAGGGACGCTGTGAACTCCCCCCAGACTGTCACCCTGAAGCCCTGCTCATTCTGTAGGCCCTGGGAAGAGTCTTCTCTCAGCTCCCAAGCTACAAGCTTTTCTTCGTAGTCTTTGGCCAGACTTTGACCCCCCTCCCCAAGCCATGAGGACCCTGAACTATTCTTGTTGTGTTGCCTCCCCTGGGAAGAACCCACTGGGCCCTCCATGCAGCTTGGGATCTCTGTGGGCTGCAGGGAAGTCGGCACGGCTGAATGAGGGCCAGAGCTGGAGAGGAGGATTTCTGGATGATGACCAGTTCCTGGGCTCTGGCCCTTGCTCCCTTGGAGTGAAAGGAGCTGTGTCCATGATGGCTTCCGATCACAGGGAGGTGAACTGACAGGGGTCCATCCTGGTGAGCGAGGCTGGCTCCTCCACCATCAGGTCCCAGGTCAGCAGCTCCAGAGACTGCGGGGGCATGGCTGGCTCAGACCACCTTTCAGCCTGCCTGAAGCCAAATCCCAGCACCTGGAAATAGGAACTTCTGTTTTGTTGATTTTTGTTTTTCATTTTTCTTTCTTTCAAGCTGATTATTATTATTTTTGTCTCTTTTAGATGTTTCTTTGCACCTTTATTGTTGCATCGAAACCCTGGAAATTTGAACTCAATATGCTGAAGAAACATTGCAAAGATGTCTAATTATCTTCTAGCACATTCTGCCACTCACACTTCCATTTTAAAAAAGAAGCAAAGACACTTGCAAAACATTTAAATGACACAGCTGACCCATTGACCTCATTTTGTGGCCGTTTGCTTTTTTACGTGTTCTTCAGGGGCTGGTGCTGAGAATGTGATGCCTTTGTGCAGTGCTGGGCAGCCCTTCCAGCTACTACCAGGGGCCATCTGCTCCCAGCAAATGGAAAAGAGTGTGAGCCTGTTTTCATATCTCATCAAACTCTGAGCACAAATTGCTTTTCACTGACAGCTCTTTAAAGAGAATTACCCGGATGACCCAGCTCTCAATTGCTTCAAGCTGCTGGGTAGTTTCTGCAAGGTTCTGGCTGCCTGGAGAGTGTCCAGTGTGGATTTCCACAGAAATCTCCCTGCCCAGGACTCCTGGGAAGACCCAGCCCAATGGCTTAGAAATGGTTTTAAACCCTAGATCCAATCTGGGATCATTCGGAGATGGGTCATTTGGAGATTTGTGTTGTCCTTTTGGTTTTGGATTGAGGCAGAAAAAATGCAATAGTGATGGTGTGTGGAGAGTGGGTTGCATTTGTGTGTGTGTAGGCACGCATGTGCATACAGTAGGAGATACTAGTTATCTAATGCTGCATGACTACCCACCCTGCCTTTAGTGGCTTAGGCAGTTTATTTATGTCTCTTGTGGTGTCTGCGGGCGGCTTGGCCAGGAGGCTCCAGACGTCATTTCTCGTGGGTTACACCCGGGTGTTGACTGTGCTGCCCTCATCTGAAGATTGCTTTGGCTCTGGAGCATCCGCTTCCCAGGCACTCATGCTCATGGCCATAGGTTGTTGTTGGCTGTTGACAGGCCTCTGTTCTCCTCCATGAGGCCTCTCCACAGGGCTGTTGTGTACTTGGTATGGTGGCTGGCTTCCTCCAGACAGAGTGTTCCGAGAGACCAACATGGAAGGCACAATGCCCTTTGTGACCTAGCTTCAGATCTCACACACCATCACCTCTTCCTATGTTATTGGTCACCCAGATTAGCTTTGGTTTGGTGTGGGAGGGGCCTCTACAAGGGTGTGAAGACCAGGAGACGAGGACCGGTGGAGGCCATCTTGGAAGCCGGCTACTCCAGTGTGTGTGTGTAGAGAGGGCTGAGATGATGAAGGGGGTTAACATGACCAGAAAGAGCCAGTTTTTGAGACCTGGATGTGGAAACTACAGCACCAGTGTGCAGGTGGAGGCCATCCAGGGAAATGTCAACAACAGCACAGGAGGAGGTTCCAATGGAGACATGTGAGAGGCGGGAAGCCCAGAGGCCACCCGGCTGACAGGCAGACGCTCCTGAGAGTTCTCCTCTGGCAGGGCCCACTGCAAGCACCTGAGCCTCTCTGCCTGGGGCTTTCTCCCCTCCTGCAAGGGTCAGACCGGGCTGTGGAGGGGCAGTGCTTCTGGGAGGAGCCCTCAGCCAATGGCAGATGTTGGAGGATGAATGGTGCAGCCTTCTGAGCCCCTGGGAGATCACACTGAGGTGCGTTCTGTTCTCCCAGTCTCTGAGATGAGCCCAGCGAGACAGAGCCCTTGGTGCCCACAGTGTTAATCTGCTCACCATTATATGCTGCTTCCCTTCCCACTTCCCCGCTGCCCTTCTGGTGTTTTCTGGGATCGCTTCCAAATAAACCACTTGCACTTGGATTTTTGTCTCAAGGTCAGCTTCTAAGGGAAACAACCTCCTACTGGAGTCCAGGTCCACCCCGAGGGGCAGGGGGTGGCCGCCCTGGGGCTTGCCTGGGTGAGTCCAGGAGGCAGGGCACACTTTATCTGCACTTCCCTCGCCTTGGCCAGCAGCTATGTCCTGGGAAAGGCATGCCCTGGCCTCCTCCTCCTCTGTGTGCAGACTTCTGGGGACACCGGCAGGACAGTTCTTGTCACACTGCTTCCCCCCTCCCCTGGGATGGGGATCTATGCTGCCCCCGCAGCCCCAGCAGCCCACACCTCTCTGCGCATCTCTGCCCTTCAGCCCCCACTACTGTAGGGGTGCAGCTTGGGCAGCTGTCCTGCTCCATAGCTGGAGCTGGCCTGCCCCACCTGGGCCCGTGAGCAGCCTCTGGAGAAGGGCTTTCTCCTCTGAACCCTGACAGCGTGGCTGCACCTGGAGGGAGCCAGGGTGTTCACACACCCTGAGCTGGTTGTTTCCATCTTACCCATAATACCTGTTGCAAGCATTTGGGGCTAACTAGACTCTCCCGCCCACATCCAAGGTCAGCCGGTTAGTATTAACAGTGTGTTGGATCAAGTTCAACTCTTCAAAACTGTCTGGGCCCTTCTGAGGCATTGAGTCACTCAGGATGAAGAATCAGAGTCAAGACAGCTCTATTGAATAATGAGGCTATTGAGTTTTATTTGCCCACAGTTGGTGAATTTTATGTGAGCGTGGAGGGGGCTGGAACTTGTGGGCATGTGGACTCTGAGACATCTCCAGTGTTGGCTCGTTCTCTTCCAAGTTTCGAAGGCTCATTAAATTGAAGCCTGTAGTCTTGGCCACCTGGTGGCCAGCAGCCCATGAAAACTTTCGTCCTGCCCCCAACCCTCCTCTGCAGAGACCTGCTCCTGAGATGACACAAGCGTTGGCTTTGCCACCATTACTTTGTTTTTTCTCCTTAGATAATGAAGAATTTTGAGAAAAAAAAAGGGGGGAGTAAAAAATGCCCCTTTTTAGCAGGGCATGTTTCTTTCCCAGGCTATCCTAGGGCCAGGGAGAACCCAGAGTCCAGATCCCGTGGGACATACTAGGACCTGAGGGGCGTCTGAGTTTTAGGAGCCAAAGTGGAGATTTGGAGTGTGGGGGAGTCGTGCTGAGGAGCATGCATGGCAAGGACCGCTGACAGCTGGGGTGTGTCCCTGTGCACATCCCGTGACAGCCCTTCTCCCCTGCCCCAAACCCCAGCCTCCTCTGTCTCCTTCCTCTGTGCCCCATGGAAGAGGCCTGGGCATTTGCAAAAGCCCAGCCAAGTCCTCCACCTTGTTGTTACTTTGTGTTCAGTCCTGTATTTATTGAGCCCCACGGCTGGGCCCTGACCCTGACACCTGGGAAAGCTGAGGAAAGTACCCACTGTGCCCTTGGCAAATGGGAAGTGGCCAGAGAGCAGAACACGGGGTAAGTACGCAGAGCACTTGACAAATGCAGCAGCTGTTTCTTCCACTGCCCCACTTGATTTCAGCTGCACGCCTTGAAGACCTGGAGTCTGAGGCTGATGGGTTAGCAGCTGGGAGGAAGCACAGGCACAGCCAGACTCACATTTCCGGAGAGACGGGGCTCCTGAGACGGAGCCACGGGCTGAGCCCCTCGCCCTTCCTGGGGTTTGGAGCCCGGCGATGCCTCTGACCGTGTGTTCACAGCCACCTCCTGCTTCTACCTCTGGCAGTGTGTTGCCCAAGGACACACCTCAGGGCTACACTGAATTTCCAGAAACTTGCTTCCCTGATAATTCAACACACAGACTCCCGAAGAAGTGGCCCGGATCCCCCAGAGCCAGGCAGCCATGGGCAGGGCAGGAGGGACAGGTCTTCCCGTGAGAACAGGCCCTCAACCTGTCACTCACAAGACCGAGGACCGGGCACATGTCCTGTCCATCACGGTGCTGGAGAGACAGTGGGAGCGGGACAAATCCCCACTTCCTGGAGACACCCTCTGCAGGGCAGAACCACAGACAAAGCCCGCGGCGGGATCTGAGTGAGGCAGGAATCAGGGTGACCCTGCCATGGGCAGCGCCTTGATACTCTGTCGTGGGCTCCCTCCCCAGCCCCAGGAGGTGGGATGAGCTCACAAAGGGTCCAGGGTCAAGTCTCCCCCATTGGCTGACCACACGGGAGACCCTTTCCTGGGAGCTGCCTGAAAATGGCACCTGAGTGGAATGAGTGGGGTTGACTCCTAGGAAAACAGGGGAAGGACTCACAGTGGGTAAAAGGTGCCCTCTAACATCCCTTCTGTTGAATGAATGGGAAGACCACCGGTGGGAGAAGACAGGAGGGTGGTGGGAGGGTCTTCCAGAAAAACCTGCTCAAATCTGGGACCAGGCAGGCAGGGCCATGGGTCAATAACACAGCTGTGCTGATGCTAAGCGATGCTTGGCCAGCAGCGAGGATGCCCACAGCCATGCTCTCCCCTCAGCGTTGCCTGGAATCACACATTCCTGGGAAGCCCATCCAGGTCTCTCTTGAGGACATGTCCAGAAGATATCTAACAGCACACGTCCCGTCTGATTCCCTGAGGGAGACCCTACCAGGCAGGCTTGGGTGTAGGTAGTTTATTTGGGAAGGGATCGCAGGAGGCACAATGGGGAAGGGAGGCAGAAAAGGGAGGAAGTCAATATGGCTGTTGTAATGGGTCACCCCGCGGTCGCGGATTTTCTCCTGCTGGGAAGTGTGAGAACCACATGGAACTCGCCTCTGACTGGCCTTCCTGAGGCTGGGAAGCGGGGCCTCCCCTCCACCCCTGCTGCCCTCCCCAGGGATGGAGTGTTGTCCTCAGGCTTACCTCTCCCCCTGAGGGTGGTCGCTGCTCTGCTGTTGGAGCTCCACTTGCACAGAGAAAGCCCTGAGCCGAACTGTGGGAGACGGGGATCTTGCGGTGGAGCAGGAACCTGCTGGTCCTGGGTCCCCTTGCTGCAGGGGCACTAAAGGGGCACCTAGTGGGGGAGCGAGGCAACTGGGCCCGAGGACCAAATCCTTACAAATTTACACACAGTTTATGTGTGTAAATACACTTTTATTGGAACACTCCCACTTCTGTTGTGTTCACACTGTCCATGGGGCCTACCGGACACTAGGCAACACTGGGGAGTTGAGAAGGAGACCGCAAGGCCCATAAAGGCCAAGAGTCACCCTCCATCTCTTTAGAAAAAAAGTTTGTTGAATCCTGTTCTAGGAGATTTGAGCAGAGTCTCAATGGCATCTGCTACAACACCATCTCACAAATTTAATGGCCCATGAATCCTCTGGGAATTTGTGAAAATGCAGTCTCATTGTCCAAAGGTCAAGAGGCCTCAAGACTGTACATTTCTAAGAGGCTCCAGGAGATGCTGCTGCTGGACTGGTCTGTGAGTGGAAGCTGGAAGTCCCTCCTACATCCTCCCACTGGTCGTGGACCAGAGAATGTGTGTGAGCATGCCTCCAAGACAGGGGCCACATGTGTCCTGAGGGGCCTGAGGCCATGTTTGGGTCCATCCTGAACTGTGGGTTCCTTGCCGGGTCATGCTCATTGCACTTCTAGGGGTATAGGTCATCCCTCACGAGCCCTGAGACAGCAGCTCAGAAGCACCTGTGCTTCCAGATTGTGCCATCTGGAGCTGGCTCAGGAGGTCCAAGAAGGAAACAGGAGCTCTCAACTGGGGCCCACCAGGCTGCCCTGCCGGGAAGACGCCATCAAATGCCCAGCTCCCTCCCTGAGGAAGATGCTGTACAAAGCCTCTTGAGATGCTGATGTTTAATGATCTACTCTACGCGATGAAAACGCACAAGGAGGAGTCTGCACATGGCCCAGCTGTGAGACTCCAGACACTTGCAAATCAAGAGAACAGAACCCAGTGTGCTCAACCACCGATGGGCCACCTGCTGGGAATTGCTGGAGTCCAGAAGGAGGCCAGTCTTAGGGCAGGAGAGGGTGTGGTCTCACTTAGTGGAACCCCTCCAGGCAAGTCTCATTCTGGAGATGGAAGGTTGTAATCCAGGGCTCAGTGCTGATGGTGAAGAAGCAGTGGATGGTCTGAGGGCACAAACAGGGAATGGAGAGTGGGTGCAGGAGTCTTGGGGAGCCTGTGGCTCCAGCTCTGAACAGCATCCATCCCAACCTTGCATTCCCGGGTGAGCAGCTGGGGGATGCAGGCTCTGGCCCTCAGGGGCAGCCCCAGCTTGATTCCTGGATGATCCTGATCTGGATATCTCCTGACACCGGGGCACCTGTGTCATTCTCCCCTCACCAGGCCTGTAGTCTCCAGGGGAACCCCCAGGCTGTCCCAGTGTGATCCATGGCCTGAGACCAGCAGTGAGATGCTCCCTCCCAGTGGGTGTTATCTCAGAGGGGTCCCTGACACTAGGTGGGCTTGTCCCAGAGCTGGGGTTCACCTCTCCTTATTCTCTGGCGCAGAAACTGCATACAGCAGGGCTGCTCCTCAGCCTCCCACCCACTTGGGCTCTGGGCAGTGCCAGGGAGACCTGAAAGCTACCAAGTCAGCCAAAGGGGCTGTTCGCCACCCCCGGCATGTTTCTTCACCTAAAAGCAGGGAAGGGAGGTGGATGAAGACCAGAGAGGGGACATCTGTCCTCGGGCCTAGGAGACCTGAATCCAAGTGCTCAGGACCAATCTGACACCAGTGTGGCCCAGGGTACAGGCAGCTAGAACGGGCTGAGTGGGCAGAGTCGGGATCTCTGAATGGCCAGGGGCCTACAGGTGGACCCTGGGGCTTGCCTGCCTGGCTAGGCTCCCTACTGCTGCACAAGCAGCGGACGGAGCAGGGCCTGTAGCTCCCTCACTCCTGTGTGTCCCTAGGAATGGCATTGTCATCTGCTTCACCCCCTCACTGCACCCCCATGCAGAGTCCACGGTTGTCACCTGAGGGAAGTAGATGTGTGTCTTACATTATTCAGCTCCGAGCTTTCTTCAAAGGGGCAGTTGTCAATATCTTCATCAAATTTCCCACACCTGGTTCTGCGAAGGTCCAGCTCCATGGAGAACGTCATCGTGTTCTCGTCCTGTGGTATGTAGAGACATCACAGTGGAGACACTCATCTTGGTCCCCTAAGAAGCTGCTAGTGTGGGTCCACGCAGTGTAGGGAGAGGCCCAAACGCTTCTCCATTTGGGAGCTTGCCTCTGGGCCTGAGTCAGCTTCCTGGAGTAAAGCCAAGCTTGGGGAGTTCGGAGCAAAGAAGCCTGTGGCCCATGGGGGCCCCTGGGTAGACACAGGCCGACTATCATGCACCATCAATATCACCCACCTGCAGCCCCACATCCCCAAATGCCCTCGTGAGACCCCACCTTCACTCTCAGCTAGCTTCTGAAGCTACCACAGCATTCCCAGGGGACAGGTGCCAAGTCCCTGGGAGGGTGTTGGCTCTGCAAGAGTTTGCTGAGTAATCTCAGCCCAGGGAGAGGAAGACTCATCTACAGCCCTGCTGTCACACCTTTCACTCGCCCGACAGCAGAAAAAAGCCATACAGTGCTACTGCACACGCACACACGCACGCGCACACACACGCAATTGAGACAATGGCTTCAGTAAACCTCTTGTTCTATTGCAAAGTGCACTCTGAAATCTCCTGTACACTTCTCCACTCCATGTTGCTTCATCCATTCCATGCGCTCCCACTCCATCTCATCCATTATTCCCAAAATAGCAAAGTCGCTCTGTGACTCCAGATCTAGAAAACCCAGGGCAGAGGTCCAGCCTGAGAGAGCTCAGGGCAGCTGACCTGGCCGAGATGCTGCCCACCAGTGCGCACAGAGGTGTGACTCGGTGCAGGTTGGAGACGCCTTGCCCTTCTTTCAGATTCTCGGTCCAGAGGTCCAGAGGGACTGTCCCCAACACGCACACATTCACAATCACACACAGAAACTCACACAACTGGAAGCACTCCTTTATGAAAGTGTTTTCATCATTCACATCTGCAGCCCAGATGAAAATGGCATTCCTGGTTGCATCTGTCGAGATTCCGTTGCAAGGAGAACATTTTAGGATTAAGAACTATGGTCTGGGGCAGAGTGTGAAATTCCATCCATTCCCCCAGGTGGAGACCATGGGATGGAGCCCAGAGCACATGGAAGTCAGAGAAGAGGCCCTGCCCTCACAGTGGGACCTCAGGATGAGGGACAGTCCTGTGCTCCTGACCCTCAACCCGCTCTCCCTCCGTCTCCCTCTCTCTCTCTCTCTCTCTCTCTCTCTCTCTGTTTTTCTGGTTATCTCTTTTTATGTCCTTCTCATTCTATCTCCTCCGACATTTCCTGTCTGCATTTTTTCTTGCTGGATATCTTCATGCCCTCACAGTCCATGTTTGGAAGTCATTCCTCAGTTAAACAATGTCATAAGCCTCAAAATGCATCATGCACGGGAGCAGACAGTCACTAAGGTGTTTTACATTTCCAATTTACTGCTTTTATAAAAACTGAAGTATCTGACCAGGTTGTATTTTCCCTGTGTGTTATGAACTTCAGATAGTGAACAAGACCCCTTGATAGGACCTCCACCCCTAACCCTCACGTAAGCACGTGCAGGGAAACAGGGCAGCGAGAAGTGGTCACCTACCTGCTCCCTCCAGGACTTCCGGATGCGCACCAGCCTGTAGGCATTCACGTCCTTGCTCTTCAGGTTGAACACGTGTAAGGCATACTCCACGGTAGCTGGGAGGTAACTTTCTATGACTCTTTGGTCATCACTGACACTTTTCTCTTGGGAACTCCAGCCACGAGCCACCAGGAGCTGAGAACCTAAGAGAATCAGGAGCATGGTGCAGGGCAGAGCCCAGCTCCGCTGTCGGCGAGGCCCGGCTGCAGGCGCACAGGCCCCCATGGGCTTCGCTCTTCCCAGCTCAAGCTCCCACCAGAGCCTCCCTGGGACTGGTCCACTTATCTGCTCCGGGACAAGCGCCTCCCTCTGGGCCTCCTCTGTGCTATTACGCCCTGTCCTTCCCGCACGTGACCGTGCGTCCTCCATCCAAAGCTGTTAAAATCATCTCCTGTCCGGGAGAGAGGGACAAGCCCCAAGCAGGACAGGTTTGGAAGGACCAGTGATATGAGGGGTCCCCTGTAGCTGAATCACAGTCACAAGTGCTCCCTCAGCACCTCAATGGCGAGAGGAGACTTTATCTGGATGCCCCAGAGTTGGATGCCGAAATGAGGACAACAGTGCAGGAGGTATAAGTGGAAGGTGGTCCCCAGACACACCAGCAGGGTGAGGGCCAGTGAAGAGGGACAGAGCCAGAAAGGATGAGCTGCCCGGAGCCGGCTTTGTGGGTGATAGAGGACAACCTGCCCAGACATAATGCATATTCTTCCTAAGAAAGGAGCAGAAGAGGCCTGAGGTCTGGACAGGTCCGGATGTTTCCTTGTCCCCCTTTGCTCCCCAGCCTCCCTCGAGTTCTGGAACAGAGAAGGCCCACTGGCTCCGGGGGCTGATGCTGGGCGTGGGGAGTTGGAGGGTCTCTGACCCAGAAGCTTCCAGCTGAGCCCACTGCATCTTCCTTTGCACAACCTCTCAGCTCCTGGATGCGCGGCCATGTGCTCAGCCTGGCGGGCCCAGCTGTGTTCACAGGAGGAGGCCATTGTCACACACTGGGCTCCAGTTTCCCTCCTGCAGGACTTTGTCTTTAGAGGAGGGGGAGTGGAGTGAAAGAGAAGAAAGAGAGGAACCAATGAGTTCCAGGGATGGCCGAGCTGTGTCCATTAGGTGACTATTGGTGCCCTCTCGTGGCCACAGTCATCACAGCTCAGCAGACATGATTTCCAGGGCGCCAGTCTGTTCCTAGAAAAGAGACCTTCACAGCCTTCAGCGGAAGCAGCAAGTGGAGGTCTGGAAGGACCAAATAATACACTCTTTCCCAGCAAGACTTCAGCTCTGTGCCCATGCCTTAGGCCTTCAGTCTTTGTCTGCAGCTGCTCGTGAACTTCAGAGGGGCCCAGAATCCCCCGAGGGCCAGTAGATACCCACGTGCCTGGGCCTTTCCCTCCCCCAGGATGCTCACCCAGTGGGTCTGGGCAGGGCTGCAGAGTTTGCCTCTTAACCAGCAACCAGGGGATGGTGATGTGTCTGGTCTGTGGACCACGCTTTGGTAGCACAGTCCAGAGTGAGTCCTTGAGGGTGGATGCAGCCAAATCACAGTGAGAAGTCACTCAATTGTAAGGGCATGGAGTGGGGGTATGAGAATGGTTTCTGGGGGCCACACTGGATCAGGAAAAGGTTAGAACACCATGCCTAGTGACAAAGAAAAAGGAAGGTTTCTAGAACCTAGACATCAGTGACTAGATGATGCCTATGGAAGGAGAGAAGGCTGCTCCAACCCCGCCAGCCTGTCCCTCCTGCACAGACTCACTCAGAGCCACACAGATTATCCACTGCCAAGAGTGGAGCAATCTGTCCCATCCCAGGTCTCTCCCGGGTTGCCCACTGTCCAGAGGCCCTGCTGTGTGTGCCTGCTAGCACCTTCCCCAGAGATCCAGTTCTTCTTCTTTCTGACAAGAAGCATGCTGCGTCTTATCCCTCATGCGTCTTTGTGATTTTTCTTTTCATTCAGGTTCCATGGTCACTGTTCCATCGTCTCCCACTAGACAACAACTCACGCCTGGCAGGACAATGTCAGGGTGAGATGTGTTATTCGCAGTGAATAAGCAACTTGATGTTTTCACATGTGTGAAGCAGCCAGGTGTGCAACAAACTCCACCCAAAGTGGTTGTGTCTTATGCAATATTAACCAACCTTAAAAAGAAGGCAATCTGTATCCATGTGGATGGGTCTGGAGGACGTGATGGTAAATGAAATAAGGACAAAAGATTGCATGATTCCACTTTTATGAGGAATCCAAAATAGTCAAACTCTCAGAAACAGAAAGCAGAATGGTGGTTACCAGGACTGGGAGGAGGGGAAAGGGGGCGATGTTGGTGAAAAGTTTCCACATTTCAGTTATGCAAGATGAATAATTTCTGGAGATCTACCTTACAACATAGGGCCTCTAGCTAACAATACTGTATTGTGTAGCTATTGTGTGCTTTTACTACAAATGGAAAAAAATTAAATTAAAAAAATCAAAGGACGGAGGAGGACCCTTTTGGAGGTGGTGATAAGGTTATGGTTTTGATTGTGGTGATGGTGTACACTAATCTCGAAACTCTTTAAGTTGTAGACATTGAATGTTGTAGCTTTTGTGTGTCCGGCGTACTTGACTGACTACAAGTGGTTTAACCAAAAAACAAAAAAAAGAAGTTGTGTCTTTTCTCAGACGGCTTTAACTTCACTAAAACTGCAGCTAAAGCTGAAGTGAGATGGTTTCCTAGCCTGAGAATGACTGCACACGTCTGGGGGTGGGATTGGGGGACCCAATCACAGAATGTCCTCATGGGTTTTTGTGGGCAACAGGCTGTGGAGACCTGTGCGAAGTGGAATCCTGACACACCTGGATAGATTGTGGGTGTCCTGACAGAGTCCGGGAAATGCCCACAGACGACACTTGGACTTTGCCATCGGAGGGGCCTGGAAAACATGGGTCTGTCTTGCGAACGCCAGGCCTCCCGTCCTGAGGGCAAGTGCTTGCATGCACTCTAAGGGAGTGTCCACACTTGCTCTTACATGACGGACCATTCAGAGCCCTGTGCACCATATCTGTCCTCACTGTGCAGCCAAGGAGAAAACGGGATGGCCACATCCAGACCTGGGACCGCGGGTACATGGACACAGTTGGCCCTTACAAGTGTGTCTATACTGTTGCCACGTCCTTAGTAGTCTGAGGTGGTCGCCCTTCCCAGACTGAGGGCTACTGGCATATCAAGACAAGAGCCAAAGAAAGGAGAGTGAATGTGGGCCCCAGCCTGTCAGAACCCCAAAGACATGGGCACAGACATTGCGTAGACCCAGCTAAATGCAGAAGGTGTGGAGTGCCCAGCTGGGAGCCTGCAGTCCCCTGCCACATCCCTCTGCCTGGCCAACCCTCCATCTGGGATCTGGGGTGCCCTTTCTCCAGGCATCTCCTATTCACCTTTCAATGCCCAGGAAGAATGTTATCTCTTTTGTAAAGCTGTCCTGACTCCTCGTGGCAGAGCTCTGTCTCGCTAAGCTGAGTCTTGGGCACTTGTTGACCTATCTGTCCCCTGGGGGAGGCAGGACTTCTGTCATGCCCACTTTTGTGTTACTGCCACAGAGCCCCCCATATGGGTTGCATAGAAAGATGTCACTGACTGCTCACTGAAATGGGCCTGATTCTCTAGGGCCAAAGCCCTGTGTTTCCAGAAGCATTCCTTTCAACAATCAGACAATGTCAGCTGTGGCCTGAACCAAACCAGCAGCCCTTCTCTGTGGAGCTGAGGTGGACAGCTAGTAAGCAGAAGCCATCGACTCCCTCCAGGACCCACGTGCTCCTCCTCCAGCACTCCCTCCTCTGACCTCACACTCAACACCTTCCTTCTTCCTTCCCGTGACCGCCCCCCCTCCAGACACACAGCTGGCTTTTCCAGCACTGTTTATGGAGCAATTTATTCTGTCCTATCTGATTCCCCAGCGTGTGTGTCCTAAGCCTGTTGCCCAGCCTGACTTAGCCATACCTTCCAACTGTCCTGCATCATCTTGCCTGGGATCATCCGCTTGGCTTCTGGACAACTTCCTAAGGGCCCTGCACCTCCTGCTTGACACTCCCTCAGGGGGCCCTGCCCAAATAACCTGTGATTCCCCAGGTTTCCCATATGCTGGAAAACAAGAAAGTGCCAAGAGTGCACGTGTTCAAAAGAAGGAAACAGGGGCAGGGTGAGCCCCAGGGCTTGGGACGGAACAGAACAATCACAGTCTGGTCCGAGGAAACAGTGTGCCAGGGGCCTGGACACTGCAGTGTGGCAGAGCACCTCCCCAGTGCCCTCCGTCCCCTTCCCCTCAGCTCTTCTGTCTGGAGGGCTCTTCTCAGCTCAGTCTTCAAGTGACTTTGAGTTCTGATCACTTACGGAATCCCATTTAGATTTCCAGCAAATTTAAACTGAAAGAGAAGGGCAACAACAGAATCGAAAAATGGCCAAAGCAGGCCGGCCCCATGGCCCAGAGGTTAAGTTCACATGCTCCGTTCCGGCGGCCAGGGTTTGCTGGTTCTCCGGTTTGGATCCCAAGGTGTGGACCTACGCACCACTCATGAAGCCATGCTGTGGTGGCGTCCTACACGGCAGAACTAGAATGACCTACAGCTGGGTTAGACAGCTACGTACAGGGGCTCTGGGGAGAAAACAAAAAGGAGGAAGATTGGCAGCAGATGTTAGCTTAGGGCCAACCTAAAAGAAATAAATAAATAAAATAAAAATAAAAATCCTAGTCAGCAAGGAATTAAAAAATATATATATATATATATAAATAAGAATGGCAAAAGGAAAGACAAAAATGTAAACATTCCCACAAAATATGTAAGGCCTCGATCGGGAGCCTCTTGCCACATGTGCACAGCTGCAGTGACGGGGCAGTCTCTCCTCTCACTGGTCCAGCCTGCTGGAGGGGGATGAGGGTCTCCCTGAGCCCACTTAGGAGCTTTGGCGCTGGCCTGCCTGCCTGACCCAGAGCAGCCTGTGGGAGCGGGGGCTGCAGAGGGAGGGAGCACTGCCCACATGCCCCTCATGACTCACTCGTGGAAACTCTTCTTTTCCTTCCACATGACCAGACCTGGCTTTTCCATCTCTTTCGTTGTTCACATGAAAACAAAGGCTTTCGTTGAACTTTGGGTTATAAATGGGCAAACTGGATTTGAGTATTGAAACAAGAGCGAAAGACAGTCAATTCTGTTCTAAACGTGTCTGTTGTTGCAGATGCCTTCTCCATTGAAATGTCTTTCCCTCCCTCCCACAAGGCCCACAGCTCTCACTTCTGCCTGACACACGCCCGCCTCCCCTTTCTCCTTTCACAAGCCTTCACTGAGTGCCTGTGTGCGCCTGGGACTGAATTCTCTCCTCTCTAAACTTTTACTTCTTGTGTATTTTAGGGTTCTTTTTTTCCAG